TAAGTCAATCTGTGGCCATCGACTATAAGTGTAGGCATGTGCCAAGCTTTCCACATTTAGTCTACCGGCTAAATAAAAAATTAAAGAATGTTAAAAACGTTAAGACGGGCGGACAGACTGCTACATTTAGTTTAGTCTTAACCTAAAATAGTTTTGTTTTTCCGAATATAGTTGTGGAGCCGTCTTACAGGAAATAACAGTAACGTGCGATGAGGAACATTTAAAATAAAATATTGCCGTACTCGTAGAAGTGTTTCAGCAGCTAAACCGATTGTAAGGAGCGGAGGCATCTGACGAAGTGGAGAAGTCGTCGGGAGTGTCGGGAGGAATTTCTTTGAAGATTTTTTTGTACGTAGTGTGCACCAATAGGAATCATATGGGCTATGGTCGTCGAAATGGTCCGATCCGAAGCCATTTTCCATGTTCGTGGGCGAAATCTCAAGTAGGTTGAATAAGTAGATTACATCGATAGTCATTAGACATGAAATGATTCTGTTTCGACCTGTATAAAGCTATCTTATCCCCCTATATATATCCGAAGCACTGTTGTTAGTTAGTTACAAGCAACACTGAATCAATCATCCCATATTCTTGAAGAACTCGTTATCGATCGTATTGATCTATCGTACTACTCGAAAAATCTTTACGACACAATCGCGTTCCGAGTTCTTCTTCGTACTCGATTGCTTTCGTGTCGAGTTGCACCTCCCGTACGATGCATTTACAACGGAATAATTGTGATGTTGTCGATGTACGTATAAAGAAGAATAATGCAAAGAAGAGGCAGAAGAATAAATAAATAAACAAGTCAAAAAAAAAAAAAAAAAATGGTGAGAAATTTGGAAGAAATATGAAAGAAAGAAAAATAAAAAAAATAAATAAAACAAAGTTAAATAAATAACATTAAGTATTATTTATTAACATTATTAATATTAATTAATATTATTTTTTTCTCAATATCTAGCTTGATGTTTATAATTTTCATGTTGAGGTTGATTGTCTAAGGCCGTTCCCCAAATAGTTTCTAAATATCACATCTCCAGAATACTTTTCTGATTAGTTTTTGGTAATCCGTCATTTTCACTCTCTATTGTTCCCAGACATTTTTCCGTGACTTTGCTGTTATGTTTGCCAACGTATCGCTATTTCCGATTGATTAATTAAGAACTCTTCCATGCATCGATATTTCGATATAGAGCAAACCCTCATACGCTATCGAGCAGCGTTAAACCAAAATGCAAATTGGTTGTCGTGCTTGCTCGATAACGAGAATTGTAAACCGACCGACCACCGGCTTGCCATTCAAAAGAAAAGTCTACACCGATAAAATCTACAAGTTCTTTTTTGAATTTTCATTCAACATATATAGCCAAAACTGGGATGATGCTTTCCTCATGGATGGTGCTTTTCCTCACCACAAATGATCTCTACACCACATTACGTTATTAATTAAGCGAATAATTTTCAAATATCACATGAAGCTTGTGTGTATTTCAGTGAATCTCCGTATTTCGAAAACATTTTTGAACAATTCAAGTAGAAAACCTGAACTACATATGGCGTAACTGAAATGCATGGAAACAAATTAGACCATTACGATCAAAATTCATATATAAAGTGTGTAAGCAAAACTTGAGACCCATCATTGCATGGACACTAAAGAAAGTGTTAGAAAGTCTTGACCATTTGACTAGCAATAATTGCCGGGAATTACGCATATAAAAAGTGACGATACTAGACCTACTGTCGTAAGGCATCTCTAGTTTAATTAACGTACTTGGTGAAGTACTCGACGTAGTTAGTGAAAAACTGAAAAAAAAAAAATTAGGCTTAATATACATGTCGATGGGTGTATTGTAATACATAAGGGCTTTTAAAAATATCGATCATTGTGTGATTGAGGCGTGTTTCAAACTGGGGAAACTTTTCAAAACATTCAATCGGAAAAGACAATCATTTGTTAACAAATAACCTTCAATGGTTTAATGAAAAGAAGAATGACCTACGCATCGCATCGTCTTAATGAATGTTATTGTCAAGATTTCAAATGAGAGAAAAGATTGAAAGTTATAGTAATTGTGTTCGAGCTATTTTGAAAAATCGTTTTGAAACGCGTTGGACAGGCCGTCCAAATTTTTACCTATAATTTGCAATCCCAATCCCAAGCGAACAGTAGTCCTTTATTATTATTATTATTATTATTATTAATTTCGCCAGAGATATAAATTCTAAGACTAAACTCTTAAAAGCACTAGCATCTAAGGCTATTGGCTTTTATTAAAAACTCTACCGCATTTGAGATTCGAACCGACGATCATTGACTTGCTAGTCGAGATTCCTCGTCTTCGGCTACTCAGGCGGATGAGTAGTCCTTTAACATTCAAATATTCCTTCTAATTCTCTCTTCTCGAAGATTTTGTGCTACCCCTTACCGCTTTCGTCGCATATGGCAAACATTGAATCGCGTTTCAAAATAAGGTGAGATGTTAACAGAAAACACCTGAGAACAGACCTTTAATTTCATGGCAGAAGCACTGTAATCCTTCACCGAATCGCCCTCATCATTGCCCTATCGATTCGGTCGTCTCGATAAAAACGTATGAACGTATTTTTGCTAGGAAGTGCTTTTAAACGAACATCACGAACACTTTCCAAAAACGTCTTTTAATGTATTACGGAAGTTTAAAAGTTTGGAATCAATCGATGGTAACATTACCGCAGAAATTCATTTATCTCGGGGCGTGCCTCTTCAAAAAAGTTAAGGAGAAAGTTTTGTGATGAAATGAAGCTTTTCCACGCATTCCAGAAATCTCAAGACATCTCTTAAGTAAAACCAAAAATAAAAAAACAGTCAGTCTCGACAATTTGAACGATTCACTATACTATAAAAAGAAAAATGTGGTATTCAATGTGGCATTTACTGCAAGATCTTTAAAGCTGTAATTATATGAGATCATCATTTAGATCATGTACTAGCATTACAGTTTTTTATTTATTCTCTTACTGTTACTAGTTACTAGATATAATGCTTTACCATTTTTTTCCATCTGTTTTTGTAATCCATCCTTGTAATAAAAAATTTAATGATTTCCGAGAACTTTGGTTTCTTACGCTGAGAACTGTTCGAGAATAAACAGCGAAATATGTGCATCATTCAAAGAAATTCAACTTGACATAAAATCGATAAATTTATCGATTCCTCGCTAATGGACGAATCGCTCAATTTCTCTGATTTTAAGTAAAAATTGTTTTATTTTTTTAATAAACTTATGGCTTCGCGGCCTACGAAAAAAGAAAGCCACGAGAAGAACGCGACACCTGCAAATCTTTTAAATGTGTGTTGTCATCCATGTACAAAAATACGGTGTACTCTAGCTTAGCTGGCTATTATCAGAGCGCGCAATATATTTAATGCTACGTAATATAGGTCTCCAAGATGCATCTAACCGCGATTGTCGATGAAGGAATGCATAAACAATGACCGATTTAGCCACGCAGTCACTAGATCGCAGCCACTCCCTATCTCTTTCTACCACCCCGCTCTTCTCTGACCATTATCGTGGGAGACGAATAGGGAACACCCCCGGAGCGATTGGTGATGTTAGCAAGAGAAAACAAATCTTTAATTCGGATCCAAGTGCTGAGTGTTCGTATATATATATATGTATATATATATGATTTGGTAAGGGAAACAAAGCCTCTGAGGCTCGCCACAAATTTGTATCCGTAAATTTATTGTTGGATTGATTTCATAACTCATATTAATTGCCGTATAGGGGTATGTTAAGAGACAGACCCGATATACCTGTCTGCCCGTCTGGCTATCTTATATCTGTCCATATCAACTTTTTTTCAGCTTTTTTGATACATTTCACTGAAATTTGATACATTGACATGCTTTGACGCAAAGACGAACTCTATTGAAAATGGTCCAGATCGGTTCACTTCTTCGACCGCTCCGCATATAACGCCTTATTTTGAAAAATCATTATATGGAAATTAATTGTAATTTTCAAAATTTCTCAACAAAACCTGTTGTGCAATTGCATTTGGTCGTTCTAAATTGCTACGAAATTTGGACCACCGCGTGCAAAGATTCTCAGGAAATCTAGACTCTTATATGGCAGAAAGGCCTAACTGTTAATTTAGTTTTATGATGGAAATTCGTTCATGATAGTAATTTGAGATAAAAGTGAAGTGGAGTAAATTTGAACGACATCGGTCCATTTCTCGGAACAGTAAGCCCTTCGGAAAAGGGTTTAATTTTTAATATTTAATGATGAGAATTAGTCCGAAGGAGCAATATGACCAAATAAGTTAAGAAAATACGGAATTTGGATCATTTAGGTTTATTTTCTAGATTCATGTATTAGAGTTATTATGAAGAGGAAGTTCTTATATTTTAGAGAAAGTATAATTTCTAGAAACTGAAAATGAATAGAATTTTTGGGAGGTAAATGCAGCTTGCTAAATTTGGATTACGCCATATGATGTTTTGGGTGTCATCCTCCAATATGTGGGCTTTTGATGGATGGATTACCGTCTACTATTGCTACCATCAATACGAAAATACAGATGGAAAAATGGAACTTGCGCCTGCTTTATTTAAATCAGAATACAAATCTGTTACTCCATTGCTAAAAATAAAGAATCGCTTGCGATATAGTGAAAGAGTTTCACTGTACATTGGTACATGGTCGGTGTTTCGGTGCTAAGCGAAGCTTAATCATAAATCACTTCAGATGTAGATTTTCATTTTCAGTCCAATTCGATTTATATGATATCTCGTGTTTGAACTATTATCCACTTTGCTGCATATTAAAAACTAGGTCTGTAACTGTTTGGTATATATGGAGAATTCGTGTATCTTTTTTCAATTCAAGATTTCTTTGCTCTTGCTTCTTCTTCTTCTTTAATTAATCAATCTTTTTTCTATTACATGTCGTCCAACAATCATTCGGGGGATTGCATGTTGATGTCATACCATTCAACCATAACAGATTTAATCCAGCCTTTAATATGGCCACCATACGACAAGCTTTCTCAGAGGCTGTGGAACGCGGTAAGCTTATGAAGAAGAAAAATCTAAAAATTCTTCGTTTTTTTTTTTTTTCCTTTCTTCTCTTTCTTATCTTTATTTTATTCATTTATTATTTATTTATTTATTAATTGCATCATAAGAAAAATGATCTGCCAGTTGAGCTAAGCGAGTAATTAAATGATATGCATGGCATTAATTAGCAGTAAGAGTGACAAGATTGTACTAAAGAACTGTAAAACACACAATTCTCTTTTCATTAGAAGAAAACAAATTGCACATACAACTAACTATTGACACCGACGCATACTTGTTCGAGCTTATTCTCGAACCTAGATGCCCAGACAGATGCATGCTTGAATTGGTAGACAGACGTATTATCACATCGAAGTTCGCATATATTATAGTCCGCTGCACGTGAACGAAATCGTACTGAACGGATAGTCGAAGTTTGTCGGTATGCTTGGAACTTTATGAGAAAGCGTTTCTAAGTGCGACTGTAAAAATTGTTATCTGTTCTCTCGTTCGCCGTAACAGCTGTAAATAACCAGTAGTCGTGAAGCGTTTCAATTGAAAAAAAAAAACTTAAAAAAAGTTGCACTGTAGTTTAGAATGAATGAGAGAAGTGTTCAGATGAATTTAAATTTATAGACTTATACGTGCCGTTCAGGTAATAAACTATCAAATTGATCAAAATGCAGCCTGCACTAACTAGAAACAGCAACTGTACGGACAGTACGGAGAGCTGTATGTGAAAGTGTAGAGGAAATAGTTGAACTACTCAGATCGTCCCATATAATTAATAAGCTCTTCCGAATGGTCGAGCGTGAACTACGCATTTGAAATCTTATAAAGTTGACATTATCTTAGTCCGCATAGAATTTATTTTGGAATTAATTTTTTGCAAGCCTGTACGTAACTTAACTAAGCGATGTGTGGAAAAATTTTTCTAATCGGTAGACTGACGCGACCGCAGGCATCCGATAACTTGTTATTCACACTCTGATCACATATTAATCGTTACGTTTTCGATGTACCCCTATTTAGTTCATGGTCGTGAAGAACTCAATGACCTTAGGTATGCTTATCTGTCTGCCAGTTTGTCGATCCGATGAATAAGTTTTTTTTTTCAAGTTTTTCCTTATTTTCCTTCCAAATTTGAGGAAAATCGCTCCAACAACCCGATCATAATCATCGAAAATTATCTGCCAACATTCGCTTCAACTGATTGCAAATTCCTTTCACAATTATAGTAGAATCATGTGATGACATATAAATGCTATCACTATTGGCGAAGCGATGTGCATTTTAGATATTGCATAACTTTAAACGAAATACGTCAAAATTTCATGATATTGCCACGTTTAGACCATTACAAGCTACAGTTCTGAACATTTCCAAAATCTTGGAAACTAATGGTCGATGCTTCGTAACAATCCTATGAGTTTTTTGTATTATTTATTCTGCCCATCCTATCTGTATGCGTATGCAACGAACTTATTGGGTAATGTGCTAATCAAGAGGCAGCAAATTCTGATTTGAAGGATGTACGTTTCAACCTCTACAATTTTATAAGTGATTCATTTACTCGATTTTACAATTAAATATCGTAGGCAAACCACAGTTAGAAAATCCAATTTCCAAGTGGAAATTTCTATTACATCTTCGACTGATCAAGTGATCGCACGGGTAGCCTAAATTCGCCTGGGGGTGCAAGAGACTACTTTAAAAAAGCCTTCAAATCACGAGCTTTTAAATAATTGCAATTAGGGCTGGGTCTGGGGCGCTTATTTGTACCACCACGTTTTGCGTTAAAATGACTAAAGTAATTTTTACCAGCACTAGCACTGCTTTCTGAGAAAACAGTAATACGATCAATAAAAACGCATTACAAGTAATGGACAAGTAGGAACATCATAATCGGTCCAGTGACCGAATCTTTTATATCCATCACCGTGATCCTAAAAAAGACAAGCAAGCAAGTTATATTCGACGGAGCCGAGTCTTGCACACTCATCCCTTTGCTTTTCCCATTCGATTCGCCAAGTTCCCAATGTTTCTGCAAAATTTAAGTCTGATGGCGATAGCTTAGTTTTTGCGGGGAGGAGAATGTTTATAACAGGTATTCCACAGACGGATAGACGGACAACCGGACGGACGCACGTACGTGCTTAATTCAATTCAGAATTTGAAGCTTATCAAGAGTGTATATATCTTGTGGGGCCGCTAAAGCTTCCTTCCGTCTGGGCGTTGCAAACGTTCTGACGAAATGAGTATACCCCTCATTTGTCGGTGATGGGTACAGAGAAAGTCACTTCAATTTGAAACACACTATAAATTTCGTAATTGTGATCTTAATTCTGGTTACCGCAGAAGCTTCACATATAGTATTTATAATTCGACTTTGGGTTAAATTCTGGGTGTATTCGTCCATCCATCAAATACAATAATTTTCCTTAAACTTGTTTTACTTATTTATATAATTTGCGTTTTATAAAGGCGTGCGTACAATGTATATGTATATGTTTATTTATTTATTTATATATGCGTATGTATGTGTGTGTGTATGTATGTATGTATGTATGTGTGTGTGCATTTGTTTCTTGTAGTGAGGATGCCTACACCTACACGTTTAAGAGATCTCATCAGACAGATACGTGCCGCACGAACGGCTGCAGAAGAGCGTGCTGTGGTTAATAAAGAATGCGCCTACATACGTACCACGTTTCGTGAAGAGGATCCAGTTTGGAGGTGAATAATATTAATTTTCCTGTCTACGTTTTTTTTTTTTTTTTGTTTTTTTTTTTGCCTCTATTCGCTCTTTGTACTGATAATGAGATTTTGTCTCTTTTTCCGTTTCGGCCAGGTGTCGTAATATAGCAAAATTACTGTACATACATATGTTGGGTTATCCGGCACATTTCGGTCAATTGGAATGTCTGAAGCTAACAGCTAGTAATCGTTTCACGGACAAGCGTATCGGTTACCTTGGAGCCATGCTATTGCTGGATGAACGTCAGGATGTTCATTTGCTTATAACAAATTGTTTGAAAAAGTAAGTTTAGTTTGTGTTAATAAATGCGCGCGCGTGTGTGTGTGTGTGTGTGTGTGTATGTGTAGCTTCTGTTACCATATCTGCCTTCATTAATTGCGGCATGTGGTTGCTTTGTTGTACTTGCAGTGACTTAAATAGTTCAACACAATTTGTTGTGGGTTTGGCTTTATGTACGTTGGGTGCCATTGCCTCACCGGAAATGGCGCGTGATTTAGCCAGCGAGGTGGAACGTCTCATGAAATCACCGAACACGTATATACGTAAAAAAGCAATTTTATGCGCTTTTCGTGTTATACGTCGTGTACCCGAATTAATGGAAATTTTCTTACCAGCCACTCGTTCTTTGCTTAGCGAAAAGAATCACGGTATTAGACGAGATCGTTAATTTTTTGACTAAAACTATAATAATTAATATATTAAAATAATTTTTAGGTATTTTGATAACCGGCGTCACTTTGATAACGGAAATGTGTGAGAACAGCAGCGACACGTTAATGCATTTTAAAAAGGTACAAATTGAATAAAATTGAATAGAATTGGGAAAAAAAAAAATGCATTTAACTTTTAACCATTTTTTTTGTTTTTGTTTTTGTTTTTGTTTTTTTTTTGTTTTTTGTTCTTTTTTATTGTATTCTTGAAGAAAGGAAAAAACTACAATAAATTAATGACAAATTTAATAGTATTGTAAAACGAACCTACACTTTAAAAGTGTGAGAACTTACATATGTATGTATGTGTGCGTGTGTGTATTGCTATAAATGTGGAATGCCATTTCTAGAGCTTTACGAGCACATGCTAGTCTTCACCAAATATGCTAATATTCCTAGTAAGAGATATACGAAAGAAAAGCATCGTGTTAGCATGTCAAACTTGGAAATAAAAACAAAAAAAAAAAAAGAAAAGAAATTCATTTGCAACAACCAAAAAAATTATATTCGGCTCCGGTCGAATCTTTTATACCTTCCATCGTCATCTAAGAAAAAAGAGAAATTTGAATACTCTATAACTGTAATTGAGTAAATAGATCTAACCGATTTTTTCCTTTTTGCATAGGTATTGTAGGATTGTGCTAACGTTTATAGTTTATCAATGATGAGCGAACAAACCGATCCTCGAAGATTTTACTTAACTTGCCTATAAACTTCAAATCCATAATTCAGGCACTTTCGCACATCCGGTTATCCTTGAAATTTTGCATGCACCTTTAATTCCGATAGCAATGCGAGATAGGTGCGGTCTGTCATCAGCTCCCTGTTTGTTGAAAATGGCGTCGTGTCTTCTGCTTAACAATTCAATTGCTACGAGTGTCAAGCCGCAAGCACTGGAGAGTGTAGTAGTAGAATGCGATCGGCTAGGTGTGAAAGGGGTTTGGGAAATAGAATACGCGTTGTAGTAGAAGATGAAGAATTAAAAATGAATTATGAAAAAAATCTTTTAAAATAAGCTTTTTATTCTAATGCATAAAAAAGTTGGCTTTCTTGAGTGTTAAGATCTAAGACCAAGCGTCCAAGCGTCCAAGCGTTTATGTATGGCCGCATAAAAGTGACTTTGGTAAAAAATTCACCGTTCATCTTTGAATTGATTTAATTAAAAAGCTTATTTTTTTTTTTTTTTATATAATTTATTTTTAATTTTGAACGATTTGAACGAATATATAGTTTACGTAGTGTACCGATCGGCGGTATCCTAGCAAATATATATTTAGGATATACACCCATGTAGATGAAGGGCAGACGGACGGACGTACGAACGAATGTTTGCAGTCGTTGATTCAGATATGTTACTGGTCAAGAGTGTAGGTAATTGATAGAAAGTCTGAAGGCCCCTTCTTTGTGTTCGAAACACCAAAAATTTGTAAGGTGAATGTATCGGCAACCTTCGATGGTGGGTATAAAAGTGCAAAGCATATTTCCATCAACACGCACCTTTCAAAATGCGGTATATTTCAGTCAGTAACATTGGCATTCCATACAGTTTCATTTTATGCGATTTTTTGCTAATTGATTTTTTTACCCTTAAATTTATTTATTTTTGATTTTTATCATTCATTTGTGTTATTATTATTATTATTAGCTTAAATATATTTATGCTAAAAACAATTGTTGTTAATCCTAAAATTTACATTTTTCTTTAATATCAATCAACAACAACAACTATAAATCATTTACAAAAACCCCTATAAAAACAATACGTACATATGAAAAACAAACAAAAAAAAACCATTCAATATGTAAATGTTGTATGAAAATAATAATAATTTGCTCGCCAGGATAGCGGAAACCGAGAGGTATGATAATAATTTATCATATGTTTGCAAGATTTTTCTTTTACATTGTACAATGAAAAATGTTGACCGTTCTTAATCCTCGTTTTCATTTCAAATATTCATTTGTAATGTAAACGTGCACTTGTTTTCAAAGTTTATGAATTATGAATTTATGAATTTATGAAATTGATTTCTCCTTTTGTTTTGTAGACGTTCCTTTTATATGTAGCAAGCATATTTCTATTTCTATGTATATTCTAATATGTATATGTATATGTATTTATGTATGTATGTATATCTTGTCGCTTATAACGAAATTTCACGGAATTTATGTAAACAATCTTTCAATCATTTTAGGAGAACTCATAATATTTGTAATGATTGTTTAAAAGTGTCCACCTGACAATTTGTCTTATCTTTGTTACGTTCAATCAAACACAGCTAAGCTTTTGCATTATTTTGTAGCTTATCGATTCACATAGACGTGTGTTTGTTTGCAAAAGTTATTTTCTTAATCTTTATTAATGTATTGCATATCATTATTAAGGCATTTACGGCACGCGTATAACTAACTGCTAACTGTTAACTGTTAACTGCTGCTAACTGCTTTCGCTTAACTCACACTTAAATCACACAAAAGTAATAACTTGAGAAAAAAAAGCTTAAATCTCGCTAAAAAGGAAATTCGTATGATATTTATTTTCAAGTTCCTATAACAATATTCTCCATATTTTTTTGGGGAGTTTTCTTACAAATTGTTTTCTTCCTGCAATCAAGACGAATATGTAGAAAGCAAAATTAATAATTTTGCTCTCTCTTCACTTTCTCCCTTTTACACACATTCCATAAAATCTCAACACATGCTTTATCGGAAATATCATCTCGTGTTTCCCGGTTTTTTGTTTTTTTTTTTTTTTTTTTTACTAACCCTTTATACGGCCGGGCGTCGGAGTTGTGTATAATTGCTGCACTCCCTATGTAAGAACGAGATCACATCAGTTTAGTCATGTCGGCGTTACAACTGTGTAGAGACAGTTCGTAGCCGGAAATCTTATAAAGGATATATTTTCTGAATGGTGTGTGCTTAAGGTCACACGAATTCAAATAGAATGCGGAAATTTCGTACGCAAATTTTTGGATGCAATGCGAGAAACCAGCCAGACATAACATCTTCGCTTCGTATAGCCAGCCTACACAATTTAAGAGGAGAGAAAATTAAGTTTATAAGGATGTGTGTAATAATTGAAAGGGCGTCGGATAAATCCTCGTTTTATTACACAAATGACAACCTGCTCGCAATTCGGGAGAGCAACTTACTTTAATTACGATTGGCATGTGGTTGAGATATTTCTTGTTCGGGCCTATATCTATCTCCCAGGCTATCGATCATACCTTATCATTTTTTTTCCCATTTCTTCCCGACCATCATCGTGTTCATATATATTTATAGGAGGTACGAGAAGAAGGAAATTTTTTATTCCAACCATCGATACAGAATCATTTAAGCATGGCATCTATGGCCTTCAACATGGTAATATTTTTATGCTGAACCTACAGGTTGCCATTCATTGTGTGGCACGTTGACGTGCGCTGAGCCAAGTACGAACACTCTTTTAAAGTGCATAGGATCGGATACATTTCACGATCACTTTGCTATGTGCAACAAATTTGCAAATTTCCGATATTGATCGAATGGGTCAATTTCTTGGCCTGCTCCGATTATTATTAATATTTATTATAATTAATTGTAAAGTACTCGTATAGCACTATAAGGCTATCGGTTTTGTTGAACACTCTGTTGTACTTGAGATTTGAATTCACGACCATCGAGTTGTTGGTCGAGATGCCACGCCTGCTCGGTCATACTGGCGGATATAATTAAAAGTAAACTTTTGTTGTGCAAGAAGAGAGAGTTTTTTGAACTTTGTTGATGTTTTTAGAATGGAAATTGGTCCCGAATAGTAGTAATCTTCTAGTAATCTAGTAAATTTACTGCAATAAGCTTGGGCTATAAAGACCCGCTCTTTTTAAAATTAATCGAGTTGTGTATTCGAAAGCAGAGAGAAGCGCGCAATCGAGATAGAAATTTTCTTCAGCATCAAACGGGAGCTTTTCTGCCAACTGCACGTTGTGCAGCAATGTTTAGAAATTCTTGAAATTTTATAATGATAATGATAATCAATGTAGTATAAATAGTTAATAATAGTAAAATTTCTCCATTTTAAATGATAATTTAAAAGACTGAACGCTACGAATCGACCTATACATGCCCATACAAAACCAGTAATATAGAGACTCATCTTTCATGGATTTCTTTATGATTACCTCTTCACATACCTTTTGCATAAAACTCACCCTAATAATCAAGTTTTGTTGGAAATCTCCTTATTATACACTATTTAATTTTTAATAGATTCTGGCGTTGATATTATATTCATATAGGATTTTAATGGCATTTTAAATTTTGTTTCGTTTAGATTGTGCCAAATTTGGTGCGTATTTTAAAAAATCTTATATTGGGTGGCTACTCGCCGGAACATGATGTTAGTGGTGTCAGCGATCCATTTCTGCAAGTAAAAATTCTACGTCTGTTACGCATTTTGGGCCATAACGATAGTGACGCATCAGAAGCCATGAATGATATATTAGCTCAGGTGGCTACAAATACGGAAACAAGTAAAAATGTCGGCAATACGATACTATATGAGACTGTTTTGTCCATTATGGATATAAGGTAAATTTATAATTAAATGATTAACAAATGTTCGCAACTTGTTGAAACAGTGTGTTATTGATTTGCGTTAGATCTGAGGGTGGGTTACGCGTTTTGGCCGTTAATATATTGGGTCGTTTCTTGTTGAATTCTGATAAAAATATACGTTACGTGGCGTTAAATACTTTGTTGCGTACCGTGCATGCCGATACATCAGCTGTTCAAAGACATCGCACGACAATTTTGGAGTGCCTCAAAGATCCCGATGTTTCGATAAGACGTCGCGCAATGGAATTATCATTTGCTTTGATAAATGCCCAAAATATACGCACCATGACCAAGGAGTTGTTATTATTCTTGGAAAAGGCTGATCCCGAATTTAAAGCTCAATGCAGTTCGGGCATGATATTGGCTGCCGAACGTTATTCACCAAATACCAGGTGGCATTTAGATACACAGCTAAGTGTTTTAATAGCGGTTTGTACTTCAGCTATTATGCAAGCTATTGCAACAATTTTTTCACTCTCTATTTTTATTACGAATAGGCGGGTAATTACGTGCGCGATGATGTAGTATCTTCGACAATACAACTGGTATCAAGTAGTCCTGCCTTAGAACAAACTTATATAACAAATCGTTTCTGGGAGTCGTTACAAGTCGCTAATCATTGTGAAGACAAACAGCCACTACTCCAAGTAGCTGTCTGGGCTATTGGTGAATACGGTGATATGTTTATGTACGGGCCTAATGAAGATGGTAAGTGGAAGTGCACCTTTTCGTGAACGGACAAGCTAATTCTAGCCAATAATTTTGCATTTATATTTCAGAATTTGAACGTCCGACAGAAAGCGAATTAATCGCTATGTATCATAAATTTTTAACTTCTGCTCAAGTCTCAATAACCAGCAAGCAATATGCTTTAGTGTCATTAGCCAAGCTAAGCACTAGGCTGCAAAGTTGTGTTGAGTGAGTTTTATTTTTTTTTTCATGCTAATTTTGGTCTCTTTAAGGAAGTTCGTTCTTTTCGTTTTCGTTTTCCTTTTCTTTTTTTTATTTATTTTTTTTTTTTTTTTATTAGAGAAGTGCAAGCCTTGATTACCTCATTTGGCAGTCATTTGAATGTAGATTTACAGCAAAGAGGCCTAGAATTCTCACAACTCTTTGGCACTTTTAAACATTTGCGTCCTGCTCTTCTAGAAAAAATGCCAGCCATGCAAGTCAGTCGTTTATCATCGCAGAATGGTGAAAGTAGCGGCTCCTATGACGACAATAGCCCGGATCTTATAGAAAATGGTTTAAATGATGAACAAATTGCTAATGAAAGTAATATGAACACCATGAGTGAAAATACGGTAAATTATAACAAATTATTTAGCTATAATATCGGTTACATTAGTCTTCGTTAATTACAGAATATACTTTTGGATCTCTTGGGCGGCACGGATTTAGCGGCTACCACTCCGTCAACTCAGGTGCAAAAGAACAATACGCTCAACGCTAATGATAATCCTACCAATAATCAAGACTTCCTCGATTTACTGGGTTTGGATATGTCCGCAATAACAACAACAACTACGGCCAATGTCATCTCAAATAGTCTCGCGGGTAATATGAATAATATACTAGTTGGCATGGGCAGTGGTAGTAGTACGGGAGGCGGAATTGATGGCGTCGGTCTGGGTGACTTAAATAATATTTTAACAAACGCTGCTGTGCCTAACGCATCGACAAACGGTAATGATTTGTCCAGCATTATGGCTGCCACTAATCTGATATCACCAGCAGCAATACCTCTGGATACATGCCACTTAAATGATCCTTTGACTACGACAGTAGCTTCGAATAGTATTGTTGTGGTAAATTTTGTGAATAGACGGACGAGTTTAAAGAAAAATCTAATATAAAAACATATTTTTTCTAGCCTCAAGGACCCAAATTGACGGCTTTAAATCAAAACGGCGTACTCGTGCATCTAGTGCCAGTTCGAACTCAAGACGGTATGCAAATTTTTATGACCGCTACAAATAGCTCATCTAGTATAGTGGAACGATTTGTTTTTCAGGTATAGATATAGAAAAAAGCTTAAAACGTTTAAACTTTATCATATAAAAAATTTGTATACAATTATTTAGGCGGCAGTTCCTAGAAGTTTTACACTCCAAATGCTACCACCGTCTAGTCCTGTATTGCCACCAAGTGGTGTAATCACACAGGAAATGCGTGTCGCTAGTACGTCCAATGTAAGTTCAACTATCGTATATGCTTTCTTTTAATAAGAGCTAAAATGGACTGGACTTGTGCTATAGCAATTGACGTTTAGACTCGGTTAAGTTACAGAAGTCTCTCGTGTTAAACTGAAATAAGCAGGCCTCAGCATTTATTGGCTTATCTGCCTATCCCAAGTCTTACCAACTCTCTCTGATAAAAATATTTTGGGACAAGAACTTTTAACCTCTAGATGGCACCATTTCGCATATAAGACTGCTTTTGATCAAAAACACAAAGTTTTTACGATTCCTTTTTTTTTATTTTTAATTTTTTTATTTTTTTTTGCTTATACCGTAATGGAAATGCGAATGATGAGGTAGGGGACAGGGGTCGGAAGCAAGGCACGATTGGTTTCACCTTAATACCAAACTATATCAAATCGGGGCCCATTACGTTCAGACATTTGACATTACGCACGCATTAGTTTAATAGTAAAGTTTTGATCAGAAGTATTTATAGTCAGATCTACAGTTAGAATTTGGTATTAAAATGCCCACATTGACCATCTTAATAGATAGATGGTAAGGTATTAATTGCTGACTGAATATAAATAAAAAAAAAAAAATAAATAAAAAAAATTCATTTCACATAAAATCTCTAAACATTTATTTAGGCTGTTTTACGCATGCGTTTACGCATATCATACGTTATGGATGGTGTTAATGTACAAGAACAGACCGAAATCAGTGGTTTCCCCGATGCAACACCCGAATAGAACTAGCCCTCTCGAACTCTACTTCTCATACACACCGTCACTGCATCAATAAGTTGAATCAATAAAATGAGAAAAGTTGAAAAGGTGAATACATTAAAAAACAGTATGATAGAATAGAAAAGCATATGAAAAGTAATCAAATACCCTCATCATCGTCATCACCGTCATCATGATCATCATCATCATCATCATCATCATCATCATCATCATCATCATTATGATCGCATATAAAAAATTTATAACAAACAAATCATTCACATCGTATACCACATACGTATAAGGTAAATACATTCATATACAAAACTAAAACTGAAACTGAAATACAACAGAAGCTCTTAACAAAGAGGAATGAAAAGCGAAACGGAAAACACAAGAATTCCAGCAACTTCAAATACAACTCCCTCCCTAACGTGTTAAAAATAATTTCAAGCAAACAAAAAAAAAAAAAAAAAAAAAAGCATAGTTTTATTATACACATATACATACATAGCATTGCAAGAAGATGAAAAAAGTTAAGTAAACATTAAAAAAAAATGCATATATTTTTTGTAATATACAACAAATAATATTGAAAAATAAATAAATAAATAAATAAATAAATAAATAAATGAAACACTAATAAAGATAATAACAATTTTAGCGAAACTAATTAATTAATATATAATTGTAATTCAAAATTCCTCCCCTATGCCTAATAAATACATTTTACAACACAACAAAACTTACATACATAAATTAATAGAACGCAATCATATCTTTCCCTGAACTAATCTCTCCATCCATACGTTTTCAATTTAAGTGCAAGGACTATTTAAATGTAAAAAGGACTTATTAAATGTATACAGTACAGCAAAAACTTATGTAAAGTGCTTTTCACTTAATTGAAAATTATCTATCCTTTATTTTATATATATATTCCCCTTAACTTTAATTCAAACAATGTATTTAACGTTTAACGTAAAAGATACTTAAGTAAATTTTGTAAAATTGAAAAAGTTTGGACGACAAGCGAACGAGTGTGTAAGAAAACTTCATCATCACATTAATCAACGACAATTTATATCATCTTTCCGAATGCTACTGTTGCTCGAAAGAGCTCGAGAGCTGGCTAACCATCATCAACCAATTGGCATAAATGGCATCTGAACATCCGAACAGTGCTGTAACTGCAATTATCAGCGATAAGAATAGATCGAAACGATCAAGAGGCAGCACTTTATTTATGTTAACAACCAGAGAGAGTAATTCGCAGTAATTCGTAAGTCGTGGCCAGAGACCACCGGCTATTAGGTTAATTGAATTGAACTAAAAAAGCAATTATTCCATAAGAAAGCGTCCTCTTAAATGAAAAGTACTTTATATTACCACCAATCGTGTCAGGGAAACGATTACGATCATAACAACAAATATTAAACAAACAAACAAACAAACAAACAAACAAAGCTAAATCAAAACAGAGAGACTCGCTCAAATAAGTTTTTAAATTTTGTTAAATGTGTTCGCATCATTTTTTCCCCCTTTTTCTTTTCTAAATAGTGTTAAAAACATTATTATTGTACTTTATTTAATTTATTTTTGCTTAGCGTAAGGCGGGCAAGTAAAGTTCAATTTCAAACTTTCATGTGGTGTTGTGTTAGTGCATTTGGTATTGTGTAGTGCTGAAGCACTTCACAAAGAAGTTACAATTAATTTGAAAACTTTTGAAATTGAAACTTTTTGGTTAAATTCGTTTCTTATCTTTCTTTCTTCTTTCTTTCTACTCTTTGATTTTCTCGCTGCTGATAACTGAAACCAAAATTTAAATTCACAAGAGCTTTCTTTTTATTTCATCACCAATTGACAGCGGTCCCGCCCAGAATATCCGCGAGATTTTAACTAGTTTTCATTTAATTAATCGATATTAACATTGAGCTAAGGAACTGAACTCTTCTGTATACATATTTCATTCCAC